GGAGGTGAAACAAAAAAGGTTCCTTTACTTTATTTTATTGAATCACAGTGAGATACATAGTTACAAGACAGTTCATGATCGGGTTTCAGTCTTTCAGTTATAAATGTTCCAATACCCGTCCCTCTATCAGTGTACATTTCACACCACCAATGTCCCCAGTGTCCCTCCTGCCATCGTCACAAACAGACCCAGTCTGTCCCTATGACAGACACTCCTCTCTCTCTCCTCACTTTCTTTTCTTCTCTCTCTTCTCTCTCTCTACTGCTCTCTCTCTCTCTCTCTCTCTCTCTCTCTCTCTCTCTCTCTCTCTCTCTCTCTCTCCCCCCCTTCCCTCCTTTTGGGCATTATGGTTTGCAATACAGAAACTGAGAGGTTATCATATTTGTTCCTTTACACTTTCAGCACACAGTTCTTATGCAGAGTTATGATTTCCAGCTATCTTTATCATAGTCATCCCATCTCTATGATACTAATACCACACATAGAAGAAATAAGTGTCTGGAGGATTGGTTCAGGATTGGAAGCAAGCTTCAAGTGCGGGGGAGAAGGCAATTGGGATAGACACAAGGGCAAAAAAAAATTTTATTGAAACTTATTTCTAAATATGTGATAGGAGAGGGAGAGAGAGAGAGAGAGAGAGAGAGAGAGAGAGAGAGAGAGAGAGAGAGAGAGAGAGAGATGTTTGAGAGAGAACCAGCTTTTCCAGGTAGAAATCAGCAAGGAAGGAAACATTGAGACAAGCCAGAGAAATGCAGGTTCAATGGAGAAAGCAAACTTGAAGAGCAAGCCCAGATCCTCTATGGAAGGAGCAAATCTAGGTTCTGGCTAGCATTTGTTACATCAGGATTATTCAAGAAAGGATTAGGGTTTTCAAGCAGGGACCCTGCGGAGCTTCCTGAACGGAACCCTGTTAGTGAGTTCAAATGCCTCTGAATCCTCCAAAGGATAACGAGAATTGTCCTGACAGTGTTTTCTCAGTTTGAATGTTTTTTCCCCACAAAGTTTAATGAATCAAAATCCCAAAGATACCGAGACACATTCATCCATATTTCATTTCCAGATGCTACAATGAAAAAAATCATAAAATGGTCATCTAATAAAAGACACATGCCTCTGATCTAAAGTCAAATGGTTGAGGATCTGGTTAAATCCAGTGTCCAATAAGCCTATAAAAGATATCACTGAGGGTTATTTACTAGAAGTGCATGCTAAACTAGAATCTCTGATTTTCACTATTTTATACAGTCCAAACACAGTCCAAATGTATTGTTAGTGAACAATATGTTTAACATTAAAATTAGTGATCCAAATTAAAAAATAAACCAAGTTAAATTAGAAACTACAACAAAGAACTTTGGGATTACTAAAAACTGTAGCACTGTAGCACTGTCTTCCCATTGTTCATGGATTTGCTCGAGTGGGCACCAGCAACTCTCACAACAAATTGTGAGACTTGTTGTTACCGTTTTTGGCTAAAAACGGTAATTCATTTAAAATAAGTCTTCCTATGCCGTTCTCTGGAAATATGCCCCTTATTGCAAGTGATAGTGTGAGGAAATATATGCAAGAAAGGATAAAGTAACAATTAAAATATGGGAAGTTTAGAATGATATGACTAAAAATATAAACAAGATCATAAAATTTGTTATCTGGAGGTCCAGAAAGGTGGCTCCATGGTAGAGCACTTCTAAAACTTGTGTGAGGTCCTGGGTTTGATCCCCAATGCCAAGAAAAAAAATACAAAAAATTGTTTGAGCAGGACAGTCATACTTAATATGCCTCAAAGGAGGAAAATGAGGAAATAGCCTGGATAGCTAATAATTGGAGCGATAGCACAGTGGTAGGGCGTTTGCCTTGCACGCAGCCAACATGGCCGACCCGAGTTCGATTCCTCCGCCCCTCTCAGAGAGCCCGGCAAGCTACCGAGAGTATCTTGCCTGCAAGGCAGAGCCTGGCAAGCTCCCTGTGACGTATTCGATATGCCAGACACAGTAACAACAAAGTCTCCAATGGAGACGTTACTGGGCCCGCTCGAGCAAATCGACGATCAATGGGAGGGCCTTTACCTACCTTTACCTTAGCCTGGATAGACATATAAGCAACTTACTGTATAGGTTCCTCAAAATTAACAACAAAGACCCTTCAAATCACTCTTGAATGTCTTCATGTCTTATGGAACTAAATTGCTAATCTCTACTGAAGCGTCTAAAAAGAGATACTCTCATCCCCCAAAGTATGTGATAGGACTAACGTGTGCTCTCCAGGAAAGAAGATACTCTGGACAATACCTATCTATACCTCCAGCACATTGATTTATTAATCTGAGAAAGGGGTACATTTATTTGAGCTTAGAAGGCAATAAAAATTCCAATCATTTCTTTGACTCAACTTCTTCAATCATTAATATTTATCAAATAAAATTAAGATTGATATTTGCTTCCCTTATAGCTCAACCTACCACTCTGAATATCACAGTTTGCATTCTCCTTTTACTTTAACACATTAGAATATTAGTTTACATAAAATTATCATACTGAAATTTGCAATTTGTGCTGACGATATGAATTTTCCAAACTTGCAAAGCTAAGTATCTGGATACTTCTTAATTCATCAAGATCAAGGTCTTGCTAACTCTCTTCATCCTAGAAGTCTCTACACTTTCATATACACCTTTAAAATAATAGTTACTTGTTGGCTATATTAAGAATACACACTATTTGGCACTAAAGTTTGTACCATGCATATATTTTGCAGGGGGCTGGAGCGATAGCACAGTGGTAGGGCGTTTGCCTTGCACACAACCAACATGGCCAACTCGAGTTCGATTCCTCCACTCCTCTCAATTCCTCCTCTGCTCCTCTCGATTCCTCCGCCCCTCTCGGAGAGCCTGGCAAGCTACTGAGAGTATCTCGCCCGCACGGCAGAGCTACCTGTGACGTATTCAATATGCCAAACACAGTAACAACAAAGTCTCCAGTGGAGACGTTACTGGGCCCACTCCAGCAAATCGATGAACAACGGGAGGACAGTGACAGATATATTTTGCAGAACTAATCTATATTTAATTTTTATTATAATTAGTTTTTTCAAGATTATTAAAAATTTCACATGAAGATCATAACATAATTATGCTACATTAATAATACAAATCATAATCCCTGGATAAAGTAAATTTTGTATAAAAGTTACCTGTTAAAAATAAATCAGGGAGTAAAATATATTTGGGAGAGGGATCTGAGAAAGAATACAGAGTTTAAGGCACATGCCTTGCGTGGATCTGGGCATGGTTCCCCAACACTGTATGGTCTCCTGAACACCGCAGGTGCAGGACTCCACACAGAGCCTGGTTATTCCCAGGCTTTGCATCTGCAGGCTACCACATATGCAACGTATAACCGCTGGCCCGGTTGGCTGAGAATAGAGTAAAGGGACCTCCATGATTCCCGAGGAATGGGCGTGGAGGCCCTCCCTTTTTTATTCAACTAACTTTTCAGTATGTAAAATCAGACACAAATTGAGTTTATTTTCTAGAATTTAAGTAATCTTTTATTCATTCATTTAGGTTTCTTACGAATCACTGTGAGATACACAGCTACAAAGCAGTTTATGATTGAGTTTCAATCACAGAATGTTCCAATACTGGTCCATTCACCAGTATACAATTTCCACCACCAAAGTCCCCAGTAATTTTTTAATGAGCCTATTCAGATAAATTTCAAAGTATCTAGGCACTTTACTTTTATGATTCTGAGATATCTGTTTAATAAAATATAAATAGAAACCTGAGAGACCAAAGGAATTAAAGTGCTCGCCTTGCACATGGTCAAACCCAGCTGGACCTCTGGCATTGCATCAGGTCCCCTGAATACTGCCAGGAATAAGCACTGAGCGTTCTGGTGTTTCCCCCTTCTTTCACTCAAATACAAATACATGAATATAGCTGGACCCAAAGTTTTAGGTAGGAGAATTGTGATCTTGTATTCCTTTCCTCATATAATCTTAAAAATCGATCAATGTCTTATTAGATAAAGGCTTTTAAAAGTCCTAAATATTTGAGCAACCAAACTCCTACAAAGGACACAGAACTATGTACTAAAAGAGAGCAGACTCACTGAATCAGAGAAGATATCAAATTTTTGTATGAATATCAGCTAAACATCCTTTTATGCTTTTTATTTTCTCATCCACATCCACTAAAAGTGGTTCTGGAGAGCCTGAGAGGTAGTATAGCAATAGTATAGTGCTTACAGTTCTAACCTTTTAAGTGGCTGACCTGGAGTTAATCTCCCTCACCATATATGGTCCCCTAAACCCTCCAGGATTGATTCCTGAGCACAGAGTGAGGAGCAACTCTGAACACTAGCAGGTGTGATTCCTTTCCAACTCTCCCATCTCGACTCCCTGCCACCACACCAAATAAAAATAAAGTGGCTTTAGAGGTTTATGTGAGATAAAATGAGAAAAAAAATTAGATAAGAGCATAGTAATATTGACAGTATATAGCTTTTACTGTTAGCATAAAAGCAATCTCAGTTACAACCCAGCATGGTGCTGACCTTTTTTATTTTATTTCCTAATAGAGGAAATTTCGGTTTTAATATTTTAGGATGCAGGTTTTCACAAATACAGTATTTCAAACCTTTAAAAATTCTGATGTTGGGCCAGAGTGATAGTAGAGTGGGCGGGCGGCTTGCCTTGCACGTGGCCAACCTGGGCATCCCACATGGTCCCTAGAGCACCACTATGAATGATCTCTGAGCACAGAGCCAATAGTAACCTCTGACTACTCCCAGATGTAACCAAAACATAAATAAATTAATTAAAAAAACAACAAAACAAAATTCTGATAATGAAGAAATAAATATATATTGAGCAGTCCAAATCAGTGAAATGATTTAAAGAGTTCAACAAACAACAGGGGCAACCTCATTAGAGAATACTTTTAACCACTTATAAATATGAATCTCTATTTTATACTCATTGCCCATGGTTTTGTTTACCTGTGAAGAGTAGAGATGACCGTCTGAACCACAGACAGGGCTGGCAGGGGCCACTGGGCATGGCTTGCAGTGAGAAGACACGGCACCTCGCCACTGCTTATGCACCACGCCTGCATCTTTCAGACTGTCGAAAAATAAGACAATAATGCTCAGTGTACTCATTTTAATAATAGAGTATTAGCATTATACCCTTTTCCCACACATTCCAACTCTTCAAGATGAATTAAATTGGTAATTGCATGCCCATTTCCCTGTTATTAATCCACGGGTTCATCATGGCAATCTTTTATAAACTTGTTTTCTTATTAGTGAAACACCATGAGGTACAGTTATAGACTTACAAATTTTTGTGCCTGGGTTTCAGTTATACAATGATCAAGTACCCATCCCTCCACCAGCGCCCATCCTCCACCACCATGGGTCCCAGCATCCCTCCCACCCCCCATTCCCCCGCTTCCCACCCTGCCTCTGTGGCAGGGCATTCCCTTTTGTTCTCTCTCTCTCTCTCCTTTTGGGTGCTGTGGTTTGCAAAAGAGGCACTTAGTGGCAATCATGTTTGGTCTATAGTCTACTTTCAGCATGCTTCTCCCACCCAGGAGGAGCCTCCCAACACCCTTTATTTGGTGCTCTTTATTTATAAAAATATTTTATAACATAATCTTTTATAAACTTTTACCTCTTCTACTAAAGTTTTCCTAGGATAATTCCTAAAAACACCCTGCTCACTATGCACATAGCACACACACACACACACACACACACACACACACACACACACACACATATATGTATATAGTTTAGTTACTAATTACAAAATGTGTTTTTAAAGGAAAGTCCAAGAAGCAAAAGTGAAAACTGCTTTAACAATAAGAACTCACATATCTAGAAAGTTCAACAAAAGAAACCCCCTCCTACTTCATTAGGAACAGCATTCCCAATAAGAAAACAGACAACTAATTTATCAGGTGTGCCTGACATGCCTGAAAATGAGAGCAATTTACTTTTAGAGAAAACAACCACAAAGAAAAACAGTTCTCCAAATCAACTGGTACATGGGAATGCCAAGTTAGTAGGGTTAAAGATAGCAGCTTTTTTCTCTTGTGGAGAAATATTTTAGAACAGATTCTTTAAGTTTTGATCTTGAAAAACATCCTCTTATCTCTACATTAAGAATCACTTGCCTTTCCACTTTGATGAAACTGCATATTACTTGGAGTCAGATAGATAATACAGAAGGTAGTGCACTAGCTTGCCCGGGGTCAATCATGGTTTGATTCCCTGCACCACATATGGTCCCCAAGCTTCTGAGACCTGAGAGTGATTTCTGATCACAGAGCCAGAGTCAGTAAACCCTGATCACAGCCAGGAGTGGCACCCCAAAGTGTATATATATATATATATATATATATATATATATATATATATATGGGCTGGAGGGAGAGCACAGCGGCTAGAGCATTTGCCTTGCACACGGCTGACCTGGCCAACCCGGGTTCAATTCCTCTGCCTCTCTTGGAGAGCCTGGCGAGCTACCAAGAGTATCTGCCCACATGGCAAAGCCTGGGAAGCTACCTGTGAGGTATCCCATATGCCAAATACAGTAACAACAAGTCTCACAATGGAAACATTACTGGGCCCGCTCATGCAAATTAATGAACAATGGGAGGACAGTGCTACAGTGCTGTGTGTGTGTGTATGTAAATGCATGGATTAACAATGTACATATAATATGATCTACATGTTCCTTATTTTTAAAACCAAAACAACCTATTATTGTGAAACCAGTACTTTTTTGGCAAAATTAACAGTATAATACATTGGATTATTCTGTATACTAAGCAAATATACTGTATCATCATCAAGGACTTAAGGAATTCTGAGTGATCAATTGTTTCTAATGGCAGTAATGGGCAAGTTTCACAGAGTAGTTTTTTGAACTGCAGAGTACACATATCATATAGCATGTATTTGGTACAATTTGGCATTGAGCAGTTTTAATCCTACCTATCTGTGCTAACTCTGAACATTTTACCATGGAAGATATTTTTATACTCCAAATCGTCCCAGCCTACTCGGATTGGAGTCGAGCATCCTCCACCCAGATCCTCCAAATTCCAGTAGGCGGGGGTCACACCCACCACCTGGCCCCCTGGCGCCGTGTAATCCCATCAACGGCCAAGACTCAGAGACTATAAAAACCAGCTCCCGGAACCGGATCAGGACATCTTTTATGACATCTTATCATCTCATTCCTACTTTGGACAAACTTGCAGGCTATCAAATGTAGCCTGCCCACAGGGCAGAGTCTGGCAAACTCCCCGTGGCGTACCAAATATGCCAAATACCAGTAACAATGATGGGTCTCATTCTCCTAAAGAGCCTTGAATATAATCTCAGGGTTAGGATGAAAGAGACGTTACTGGGGCCTGCTCGAGGCAATCGACGAATAACAGGATGATGAAATGAAAATGAAAAAAAAATCGTCTTTTAATAAAAATCATGCTGTGTTACAGAATTTGACGTGGCATCAGCGATACCTCTCAGAATTAGTATTGTTTGTGTTATTGTCTTTTTTGGTATTCTCTCTTTTGTTAGTTTTCTCATGTTTTTAGGGGCCATACATGATGGTGCTCAATGCTACCTTCCAGCCCTGCTCTGTGATGTGGGATCATTTCTTGTGTAGTTTGAATGACCATATGGGGTGCAGGGATTTAACCCAGGTTTTCTGGCACCCTACCTGCTATACTATTGCTCCAGCCAACATTTTATTATCCTTAGGGAAATTATAGAAGATGAAGCTCTAAATAAATTTTTATAAAATTTAATAAACACCTATAAACATCCATAAATTGCATATAATGTGGAAACATATATGTGAATAACATAAATTGAGATTAACCACTTGCTTTATTCCTTATTTTATATTATTGAATATCTTGTTTTAGAGAGAACAAGAGAAAAAAATTACCATCTATATCCAGACCAGAAATGGACAAACAAAGTGCTCAGAAAAAGACAAAACTAAGCCCTGGAAGTCAAAATGGGCACCTTGCACCTAGGCAGGAAAAACAGTCTAGCCAAAATATCACCAGATATATTATTCTCAGTATTCTAGTTGCAAAATTTTGAAATTTTGAGATTGTTTACTGGGAGATATTAGCAGTAAATTATTTTGAATTAGGAAAAAATAGTGCAATATGATTTTTCCACACTAATAAAGTACAAAACTTACTCTAGTTGCAGAATTCTGACATTATGTTAAAGTACTCTTCCAGCATCTGCTAGAACTAATTTGGAAAACCCTTTTAGATAAATATACATATAAATATATAAGAAATATATATGTTTAATATATTCTGTATAATATATTAACTATAGGGCTGGAGCAATAGCACAGTGGTATGGCGTTTACCTTGCATACAGCCAACATGGCTGACCGGAGTTCGATTCCTTCGCCCCTCTCGGGAGCCCGGCAAGCTACCGAGAGTATCTCGCCCGCACGGCAGAGCCTGGCAAGCTCCCCGTGACGTATTCGATATGCCAAACACAGTAACAACAAAGTCTCTAATGGAGACGTTACTGGGCCCACTCGAGCAAATAGATGAACAACGGGAGGACCATGATATTAACTATGTATTACGTATGGGCGGGAGCAATAGCACAGTGGGTATGGCACTTGCCTTACACGCAGCCAACCTGGGCCAACCTTGGTTTGATTCGTCCACCCCTCTTGGAGAGCCCAGCAAGCTATCAAGAGTATTGCACCTGCGTGGCAAAGCCTAGCAAGCTCCTCGTGACATATTTGATATGCCAAAAGCAGTAAGAAGTCTCACAATGAAGATGTTACTGGTGCCCGCTTGAGCAAATCAACGAACAACAGGAGGACAGTGCTATACAGTGCTATATTACATATGCAACATTCTATATTTTCAACATTCAATGTTGAAAATTTGAATTAAATATGTATTTATTTTAGATGCCTCCCTATTTATGTTCATGACATCCATTGTCCTTAAATTAAAAGAAAATCTTTATTTTGAGCGCAGGGGGTGGAGAATTGAATGACAATCTATGATACTAAAATAAAGGGTTTTTTCCTTCAACCATTCAAAGCACTAGATTATTATCATGACAAATATGCCTCTTATTAGGTTTCTAATATATGGAAAATTAAACTAGAAAGAACTTATCATATTATTAGATGTATAATGTAGGACACATTTGAGTCAAATTATCTTCTTGCTACCTTTACTTTCTTCCTGTGTTTCTAACTTCCCTTTCACTGGAGACTTCAGCATGTATGACAGATGCTAGGAATTCTGTCATATATGTAAAAGTGTAATAGTCTTACTTTTCTCACGACTACAATCATTTTATAGTTAATTGCCACTACATCTGTTTACTCTATTATGGCCTACTTGGTTTTCTGTTTCACTAAACTTGCTGCACATATAAGTAAAATTATTTGAACAAACTTCCTTTTTGGGGGTTTTATAATGATTTCTTTGAGAGAACATAAATGATGTTACCAAAACGATTAGCAGGAAAAAGACTACTCATTCCAACCTTAATCTCACATATGACTATTTTATTAATCAGTCTTGGCAAGCCAATAAACTCCCTGGTTATTAATTTTTTTCCACTTAATATAATGTTAAGCTTCATCGGTATGGGTCATTTGGTCTTCAGCATACCAGGAGTTTGTAAATCTTTAATGAAAATACTAATATAAAGACACTCATCAAATATTAGAAGCATACTTATTGGCCATAGAACTTGACAGTATTACACTGTGAAACAAATGTATCATTATGGTGTGAAGGATGAGGTTGAATGGATAAGAGATTGCTAGAAAAGCTTAAATTGCAAAACTCAGATAGCTTAAGTGTGCAAACGACAAACACCAATGGAAACTTGTTTGACGTAACTTAAAAAATGGGAAATAATATATGGTTATTTTTTACATGTATGATTTGCATGAAAGTATACTTAAGAATCAAGTGGGTTTTGTACTATAATAATTAATAATTGAATATTTTAATTCATAAAAATAATGTATCGTTTTGTGTTATCAGTACCTTCATATTTTTCCAAGACCTTGTAGTTGCTGAACCTGGTATCACA